AAAAATCTCATCTTCTAGAGAGATAAACACATGAATTTAAATTCTCCCGGCCAAACCAAGCTCCTAATTTAACAAAAAAGAACACGGGTTTCAGAGGGGGAAAGGGCGACAGAAGGGCGAAAAAAGATGAGAAACGAATGATACGATCGAAGGAGGAGAGAGAAAGGGAGATGAAGGAAGAGATGGATAGAGAGAGAAAGAAAAGGGAGAAGAAGGAAGAGAAGGAGAGGCTGAGAAAGATGGAGGAGTTGAAAGAGGAGTTAGAGAGAGAGACGAGGAGACAGAAGAAGTTTGAGAGAGAAAAGGAGAAGAGGAGGATGAAGCAGCAGGAGGTGGAGAGGAGAAAAGAGGGGGAGAAACAGAAGGGGAGGAAGGTAAAGAGAGAAAGGAAGAAAACTTCTTTTTCTTGCTGTATGGCTTGTGGTTCTGAGCCTGAGAAATAAACACCAATATAAACCATGTTCTTTACAACAAAAACTTGGTTCCAATCAAATAATGAAATTAAACATCATCAATTTTTTGACATGGTTATGTTTCTCTCTCTACGTTGTTGCTTCTCTTCCTCCTCAGACGATTCTCAGATCTTTTATGCAACTCCATTAACTGGGTTTCCCAAACTTTTCTATTAGAAAAACCAGAATGCATCAAACTCAATTCATGGTCATATTTCTCTCTCAAAACTGGATCAGAGAGAGTTTCATAAGCCTTATATAACTCTAAAAATGCAACTGTGGATTGTTCTCTATTTGTAGGAGGGCAAACGTCTGGATGATAGAGAAGGGCCATACTTCGAAATGCTTTCTTAATTTCATCGGTGCTCACACTTTGAGACTTCAACTGTAACACGTCGTAGAATGTTGATCCTCTTCTTGTGTTAATGTTTGCATTTGGAGCTGTACAAGAGATGTGAAGTTTGATCGTCTTTGTGTGAAGAGATGGGGGATTGTGCAGTAGTTGTGTGCCTAGGTACAAAGCTGGGGAGATCTCCATGAGAGAGAGAGAGAGAGAGAGAGAGAGAGAGAGAGAGACGTGATAAGTGTGACTACCTACCGTAGTAGGTAGTAGTTAATTAAGTAAGGAACGAAGACTATAACTAACTACCGTACGTCCTACCTACGTACGGTACCGGG